AAAAAGGAGGCGGTAGATACCACGAGGACATTCAAAACTCAAGTCATGGCAAAATGTGAAAGATCACGAAAAGACAAACAAGTTCACAAAGCACTACATAGAAAACTAAAGACTGAGATACACGAACCTCAGTACAACTGGTGGTTATCTCAGGGGCTCAGGAAAGTTACAAGCAGATCCCGTTTCAATCGTAGGTATGCATTGATTATGCAAAATAGTTTTTAACTTTTTCGACGGTTATAATTCTGTTGTTTCCTTCGTCTAGTTTTTTCATATTTCCGTATATCTTACGATCAATTTTTATCATAAGATTTTTTGTGAAAAGAGCCCTCTGGTGCTATCGGATTTTTATGTTGAGAAATTGTCTTGAGGCTTAAAAAATGCTGTTGGTTTTCATGTGCTTCTACCATTTTAGCGATCCATTTCTTTAATCCTTGTTCTTTCTTTTGTATGTAGTGCTGTCTTTGTTGTGATTTGTGATGTATGTGATTGGAGCTAACGTAGAGTGTTCAATGGCTTAATTCTGTTGCTTTCTTTGTGTTCAGACGCCGATTGCTTTCTGAAACTGTATTCGGACTATTGCATGGTGCAGAAATTTTGACTCTGAAATTTAGTTTGTTTGCATAGTGGCTGTGAAGACACACAAATGATTGGTATGACTGGCGATGCTCAGGAGTCAAAGTGGTGTTGTATAAAGATTGATAACTGGAGTAGTTATTACGCTGATAATTGGTTGATAGTGGTTGATAGTTTTGTATTTCGACTTACGGTTATCCATTGTATACTTCTCCACGTTTGTTGTAGTTGGATGGATGCATACAAATATTCAGTTGAAAGGTTTTGGCAGGTCTGTTGTAGTCCATATTTGAATTACTTGGCTGATAAACATTATGATGATTAAATGTCCATGTTGTTGTGGAGTACTAGTATTCAAGCTTGAATATGTTGGTACTTGACTTTGTGGTGGATGTGCCTGGTTATGATAACATGTAGCTACCTGGCATATTAATACCAATAGGACGAACCGGTGTGGGATCTCATTGTATAGTTAACATAGTGAGCTGCAGTTTGCCTCGCAAGTTGAGTGGCTATTAACGTCTGTCAACACTGTTGATGCACATATGTGGAATAAGCTGGTTTGAATTTCTAACGATTATTCGTAGCCATTCGTAATGCTATGTTGGATCTGACAGTTATAATTTGAAAAGTACTGCTGTTTTCTTGTCTTGTATCACGCAGGGTTCGGTTGTATTGTAATTTTTCTCTATAGTTGCGTCTCCACGTCAAGTTCCTTGTACATGTACTAATAATGCCCCCAATATTAAAACAAAAATGTAAACGCAACATTCAAAGAAAAATAACTCGAGTAATTATCTTTTTTATTAAATTTGTTCCATTGATATTATGTCAAAAGTAATTAGGAGAAATCCGTTCGCGTCATAAATGTGTCCTTTTGTGCCATTTAAAAAAGGGAGTTCACGCCTCCTGGGCTAACTGGACCGATAGTTTAAACAGGTGGAGTTAAAGTCATTAACATATATAGCACATTTTGATTAACACATTTTATTTACATGTAGTCAGACAAATATCATATTTAAGGCTGGAATTTATAACTCTTGACACAAACATAATCTCTATACTACTGAGTTCTCCTCTCGTATACTTCTGATACTTTTGAACAATTGACTTTACATTTTAAAATATTGTCCAAAAATACAAACATGCATGGATGGGTGGAATGAATAAAACAGTTGTAGTACTTATGAAATGCTTCTGGTTTTTAATTACTGCTTCTAGCGTTGGGTGGAATTTTAGACATTTATTTGAAAAATAATATTTGGCGAAAATGGTACATCTCAAAAATAACATGGGTAGTTCAGTTTAGTTTAGTTTAGACATATTTTATTTGCATAAACACAAATTGGGTGAGACACAAGTCAAACAGACTTATGAAGTCTTTTCCATTTAACATATTTAACAATACAATATATAAGAGCATGCATACATTACATATTATTTCATCATTTGTATAAATTGGACAGAAAAAATAAGTGGCACAAAAGAAGAAGAAGAAAAAATAGAACACAAAAAACAACATGGAAATAAATTAATAAAAACAAAAACAAAAACAAAACAACAAGAAAAACAAAAACAAAAAACAAAAAACAAAAACATAAAGAACAAAAATAAAATACAAAAAAAAACTGAACTTAGATGATGATGTGTGTGTGATCATGTTTTACTATCTAAACAATAAGGAATCTATTCGACCCTCTAACATATTCAAACACATGTTAAGGAAAACATTTTCTGAGTGTAATGCAGAACAGTTGTGTATCATTACAGAATATGTTGATAGTACCTCAGTTGTGCATACTATTATGTCTAAAATGTTGAACAGTGGCAATGCAATTTACAGTCAGAGAAAGCTTTATCTGGTAAAGGTGGAAACAAACTTCGAACATATAGTTTATTTAAGAACAGTTATGAAACAGAAACTTATTGTAAAATTCCAATGCCATTTTCGCAAAGGAATTCTTTTGACAAATTTCGTTGTGGTGTAGCACCAGTAAGAATCGAAAAGGGGAGATTTGAAAAATTACTTTTAGAAGATCGAGTCTGTGATAATTGTAAGGATATTTTAGAAGATGAAGCCTATGTTATTTTATCGTGTCCTTTATATGACGATTTTAGAAAAAAAATATTTGATGAAGCAATACATTTAAATAGTGATTTTATGTTTTTTGATGATAAACAGAAATTAATGTTTTTATTTACAGATATTAATTTGATTCGTAGCTGTGCCAAAGCCTGTTGTCTTATTTTAGATAGACGTAGAAATGTTTTATACTGTAAATAATGTTCTTATAAATATGTTTTATAATAGACGAATTTTCTATAATGTTTTTGATGTTATAGTCTCTTATAATTCTGTACAGAATGGCTCTCTTTTTATATCTTTATATTTTTACACTAAATGTAATGTTGTATTATATATAATTGAGAGATGAGACTTTAATAAAGTATTGAATTGAATTGAATTGTTAAAGATATTTTCATTTTTCTCCTGGGGTTAAAAGTTCTATATCAAATGGACAATTATTTTGTAGCCAGGTAAGATTTTCTAAAAGTTTACATCGTTATAAGAGCTTGGATCAATTTATTCACGGTTTATACACAAATAAATCTAAGAAATTTTGAACTGTTCAAAGAATTAAAATCTAATTAAATATTATAGCTGAAAACACTAGGTCTAACACTTTTCGTCCGGGCATACTCTTGTCATAAGCAGAATAATTCGGAACGATTTGCCTACTGCCTACTACAACACATACCACTTCTTAACAGACTTGTATCAATAAAAATTTTCATATGCTAGAGAAATCCGATATTTTCATAAATAGCATACTATACTGCACATCCTTGTGTACATTTATAGTAAACAAGGCATATTTTAGTGTCAACGTTAACCATTTAATAAGAATAGAAAGGAAAATACGAAAAACAAATTACAATTACAATGATCAATAAAATATACATCCTGCTTTCTGCTTGTTGTGAGTTTTAAAAATTGCTATCTAACCTCATCGCGTATGCCTTTGTTCTAAATTATTATGCATGTGCTTATCTTTGAAGCGTTTTTGCATAATATATATATATAGCTAGTTTCACTAATATGCAATAACTAAAAGCCGTGACATAGGAATTTGCGTACAGAAGATCTTTTAGGCTATAATATGATTAACTATTTACTGTGCAAATATAGACAATTTCTTTTAAGAAATGATGAAAATAGCTAACCCTATCTACTAATAATATGTGCCCAATATGGATCTTTTAAACTTATATTCCGTTGCTTTTATATGTGAATGGCGAATTTAAATTCTTAACCACTTTCAAGTTATTTAAGCAGTTCTTAGATTTACCAGAGTCATATAATACAGTTATATTATTTTTCCATCATGTGCCTCTAATCTTATTAAGCTTGACATTGCTTTTAACACCCGATGAATATGAGTGCTACGTGTATGAAATATGTACATTACTGTAATTAATCATTTATGTGCCAATGATGATTTCTATTGTACATATTAACTTTGGATTAGTCAGAGACATATATAGTATATGTCTCTGGATTAAATTAATGTGCATATGTTAATTTTAATCCGTTTGCGATAAATTTTAAAATACAGTCCGCTGTGTGTGCTCCAACGTTGAAGGGATTTACCGTTAAGCGGAAGATTTGCCAACTCTTTATAACATTTACTCACTATACTTACTTGTAAACATGTATCTGCCAGCCGAGTCCCTGTGGTTGTGTCGCGTTGATGAAGGCGAAGGGCCGACGAAATTTTCTGTGTATTACCGACGATTGATAGAGTCTTACTTTAAAAGTGTTTTACCACCGAGCGAAAAATATATTATATGTCTCTGGTTTCACCTATTGGAAATTCACCTATTATTTCAAATAAAAACACATTTTTTTTAAAACATTTTCGAACACTAATTTGAGGTCCTATTCATGTTGATGAAATTTTTAATGTTAAACTCATAAATGTGTACAGTTTTTAAGCTTATTATGAAATATTTTTATGACATGTCATTACTAGAAAAATCATTATTTGTATACAAGTGTTAATTTTTCCTATATATATCCATGTGATTTTTTTCGTGCAGGAATTCATATTTGTCTTTAAACAGTCATTTCCCTTAAAATACGAATTCTTAATATATTTCATAATTATTGCAAGTATTTTATGAAGAAAAAAATCATTGAATTCGGACAAGAAATAGGTTGAATAGAATTTGTATTAAACATGTGTTTTTGTATGAAATAATACGGTAATTTTCGATAGGTAAGAAATGTCTCAGGATAGGTGAAACGAGAGACATATAATATACACATGTGTATATATGTCTGTGGTGAAACAACTACAGTGTGTCTTTTTTCGCGGGAAATTTGAGTTAGATCCCCTTTTTAAATTCAAAAAGAGGCGCGACACAAACATGGCGGATGATTCAGAAAGTGAGTTTAAAATGGAACAAAGTTTAAATTAGTTTAAGCAAATGTCACAACTAAAACAACTAAATCATGCACATATAAATGTCAACGTTCATGATAATCTCAAAATCAATTCAGAGGATACAAATAGATACTTATAAAATCTGAACAAGAAAATCATACCAATTATAGGCAATTTTTTTTCCACAACATAAAACTGTAAAAATGTTTTATTTACGTCCAAAACACCAGATGGGTCTTCTCATTAAATGACACGGAGTTTATATTTATGGTATTTGTTTTGGTAAATTTTCACAAGCATGGAGTTGTATAGCTGCCGTAATGAAAGATTTTTGGGGGCCATAGCTTGGACTGTTACACCTTATCGCTATTTGGGAATCTGTGACACTTGAACTATTGACGTCACATAACAATCGTGTTTCCTTTGTGGCATCAGACATTTTTTACAGGAGCCTTTGAGGTGTCCAGCAATGCCTATGGCGGACAAATAGCATAATTTAGGTGTATTTCCCGTAAAATTTCGACTGTACAAGAGAAAATGTCTGACACGTATCTTATTGTACAGAGTTCGCAAAAACTTATTTTGACCCGTCGGTCATGGGACCTACAAAGCATGATTATTTGTCAGTCCTACAAAATTTTAGCCAGTCCTACAAAATCTGTCAATTTTATCCTGAAATTAAATTAATTACATATTTTATCGAAAAATAACTTTATTAATATTAGTTTTATTCTTCGCATCCACAGGCAAATTAACAATGAAGGACCAGTTCAGGTCTTCTGATTGTTCTTATTTAAAGTCATATTCACTATTCATTTCATCATCTGAATCACTTTCTCGGCTGTTACAGTATTTGTTTGCTCCATTGTAGGGTTCAATCGCCGATTGTTTGCCAGGGATGGCTCTATGAACAAATTTAGTAGGCCACGTGTAGATAGCCGCTTTGGTTTGTTTATAATAAATCCTTAAACCAGTACCGGAAATTGGCAGTGGGTACATCTGATAACCGATGTAAACACTTATTGGAAACAGTTGCGGTACATCTAATAACCGATGTAAAAAAGTGCCGAAATATGCACTACAACGGCCGTTTTAACATCGGTCATCGGGACCGGCACTAGACTTCAAAATACTGGTCCGAGCCTCATTTTGACCGACAGGACCGACCATTTTCAAGAACTCTGATTGTATAATCGACGGAGTATGAAGTATAGTAAAACACAGTGAAATCAGTCCGCATCTGTGGTTAAATCGGCACTCGCTATACTCAATTCGGCACCTAGTCAAGTAAAAGATAAATATATTTTGTTTGTGTATTTTCTTTGGGCAACTATATATATATTCAAGGTATTGAATATTTATTATGCATGTTTTAACCAGTTGATATTGATGACAGGGACTCATATAAAGCTTGCCCTTTTATTGCTTCTTATTTTTTTTCATGATTAAACAATCATGACAATAGCTTGGGTAAAGGCTTCATTGTTTGTTATTTAGGTTTTTGAGGAAAAAACACCAATAACTACCAGTATAGAGTTAAAACAACAAATGTTAATTATTTAATTGATATAAGTTATTAATTAATTAATTGAAAAAAAACAAATCAAATCAAAACATCAGTCATACATGTAGGAGTTTTAAAAAAACTTCAAACAATTTACTTCTTAATAACAAGATTATTGTTAACAATGTACTGAACAAAATAAAATCCAACCCAATTTTTTTTAAAGCAATTGCTTTTATGCCATCGCGTATGGCCATCTTTGTGACGCAAATCAGAGACTCCGCCCAGATCAAGCCATAGTATTTTGTTAAACAGGCTCCTGGTCTGTCATTCTTAAACACCTATGTATGTTTTCTAATGCAATACATAGCTTGAAACTTTTGAAAAACGTTAGTGGATTTAAGAGGTTTCAGCATATGTTCTTGTAGATGTATTTTTGTATTAAGGGGGACAACTGTTTGGCTATCAAAAAACATAGAAGTCCGTTTGAAAAAAAGTGCATTTTTGTACCTGCGATTCCGTTCTCCTTTCGTACGACGTTTCAACAAAATATCGAATCATTTCAGTTGTTGATTTAGTATTGAAAATTTTACTGAATTATCTCTTATTAAATACGGTTTTATATGTTTAATTGGTGTTTCTCTAAGAAAGAGGTCAGGTGCTCTTGTTCATTCATAAAATTATCGTTCATTCATAAATTTATCGTAAAATCAAAATCACTACACAGGTTATACGTAGTGTCAAATGATTACCTGTAATCTAAAAATAGACAAACTTAACTGACCTATTTTGTTGATTTGTTTGCGCAAATAATTTAGCGGAACGAAACCCTTGTTAAAAACACATAACAATAAGTTCGTTTTCCTTTTTTGTCATATAACTCCGTAAGATTTATCGATCACCTTACTAATGAAATGGACCCGTCAAAACGTGATAGATGCCAAGTCCAGATGAGGAGATATTTACAATTTGGAATTTTCTAGTTTCATAGATTGAAAAAAAGTACGTCCTTTTGGATATCATAATCAAAACTGGGTATGCATGACAAATGATGGAACGATTATCCTCGTCTTTCCAGTGGACGAGTCTACTACGTGTGTTGACACTCGACGGTCCACCGTGTTTGCAATTTTATTTCACATGTTTTCGAAATATTGAAGATCATTTTTCGCAATGTTTCCTGAAAATTGATAATTATCAAAGCAACGAAGAGCTGTTTGTTCTTGTTCGTATAATGACGTTTATTGTCATGTTTGTCTGTGATGACCCCCCTTTTCGGGATTGCATGAGAATTATAGTTATCTCATACTGCATGAGGATGACACATATCAACTGAGCAATAATGTTTTGGACTTAGTTTTAAGAAATGCAGACAAAGTAACATTATGAAAATATTTTTAGTAAGCTGAAATATATATTTATTTTTTACATGTTTATGTCTTATAATATATTTTATTTCTTTCCCGTTATTATTGTCCAGTTACAAACACTACCAGGGGATAATTTCTTTTTGAGTTATACGTTTCAGCACATGTAAATTTGACCCCAACTTTAGCCTGGTAAACGTGTTGTCTCCTTGTGAAATATAAAACATATCAAAAATGACTTTCTGCTAAAGTCTTTTATTGATATAAAGTTAAAACCTTCTTACTTCTCACTAGACAACACTCCTGTCAGGTTTAATTCTTATATACATGTAATGTATATGGGGATGAAAAAGTCCCCAAAACATTAACATGGCAGCAATTGCTTTTACAGCCTTTAAGGCTTTGATTCTAAATAATTAAAAAGCAGAAAACAGATGCAAAATATTATTTGGTGCTGAACTGACCAACTAAATGCCGAAATTACTTTGAAATAGGTGCATATTTGATCAGATGCTGATTTGACTTTTTCTATAGGTGTCGATTTAACTTGTACCCTCTGACCAACAGAGAGGATTGAGTGTAACCTGATAAAACTGTTGACACTATTTCCTAGATTTAAAGTTTATTATTTTTCTAGCCATATTTTGTCAGTTGCTTACTGCAGGTTGACAGTTTCCTCAGGCAACTCTGGTTTCCTCTAAATATAAATCTTACCAGATTTTGAATGACTGAATAAAGCATTAATTAATGTTTTTAATGAAATCCATTTGAAACTATAATACAAGACACTAAGAAATAATATGAAGAGAAGACACAATTATAAGGAATGGATGTATGGGGGAGGGGGAAAGCACATTAATAAAAAAAAAAAATGCATGGGCTACTACACATATTTTCCAAATCAAAACTTAAAAGTTAAAGAAAAATGAATTCAAATGTTATTCAAATAAAAAGTGCCTTTCCCTCCCAGTGATCTGGAAAGGTTTTTTCTCTATGGGCCCAGGGCCCCCAAAAAATAAATTTAATGGGCCATGTTGTCAAATGAGTGGGCCATTCGTTTACAATAAAATAAAAATAAAAAAAGTGTATATTTCACTGTACTTACAAGTATGATTCTAATTAATATCATGGATATTGTTCCTGTAATTTTGTAATTTCAATTTCAATGAATATACAATAACTTCTTCCAAACCGGGCAATATTTACGATAACCTTTATTTACAATGTTAAAACTGGTACCGTTCCCTTGTTCATGTTCATGTTTTTTTTTTACATTAAATTTGGGTCTTCGTCGATACCATATGATACTTATTCCAGACGTTCTGTATTAGAGGACGTTTCTGGCATTTCCTCTGCACTTGTATTATTATTACTTCATCACGATGACAAGAATAACAGTAGAGAGCAATGTTAATTGATAAGACACAACAACAACTGTTACAATTCGCTGAAGGCATGTTTACAAAATGTCAAAACAAGCCAAAGACCAAAAAAATTGACAAGGACAGTTAAGCCCCTTTTATGGAGACAAATACTATGCTATTCATAAAAAGGCTTTTGGATTTTTCAATCGAAATAATAGCAAGCTCACTTAAAAGATTATAATTAGAGAAGAATTCTCGCCTTTACTAGCCAATTTTCCACAGTTGTGTACTCACACATGGCGGCACGAAATACGATCGGAAATCCATTTGTCGATATCTCAACGTTTCAAAACGAAGTGAAAAATATCATGCGCCACGCGGGCGCTTACATTTGTCACTCTATGCGCCATTTCTGGTTGATAAGCGCAAGGCGCACGTCCTTCCCGATCACTGCCCTCCCCACACAATCAATTCTGGAATAGCCCACTTATGACAAATTAAAATGAAGAATAAGAGGTCAAAATCTACTCAGAACAGCCCAGTTACGGTAATACCACCTCCTGCAATCTTAGATTTTCTAAATTTTCGAGCTCATCCCCTCCTACTTTTATTTTTCTTCCTCTTATTCAAAAACTTATTGAGAACACTGATTTAACAAAGTTAAGCTAATTTAATCAGTAAATTTAAACAATGTATTTACATAGAAATAAATACATTTAGCAAGGAGATCTAACAAATAGTCTGTTAATGCGTGTGGAATGCACAGTTTTCCCTTAAGGGATCATTATTATTCTGTCAGCTGTGCCATTTGTGCGTGTAGTTATTATTGTAAAAATTATAGTGTCGCGGCAGCTAAAACGGCCTAGGGAGATCACTGGATGGCCAAATTCTGTTACAAAATAATTCCTTGAAATGACAAAAGTAAAATAATTCAAACTAGTAAACTAGTAAACTAATGTCCTGATTTATGTACAAAACAATAAACAAAAAGCAAATATGATATACAGCAACAAACGACAACCACTGAATAATATGTTTGCCCAGTAAGTCTGCATTATTTAATGAGTTTTGATGAAAAATGAAATAACAGATAAGTAACATACATGTTTATAAAGAATAAGAATATTTATTGTTCCAATTAAGGGCCCTTGATGGGCATCATGACATTTATGCACACAAAACAATATGCTTTGATTTTGAAAAAAAAAAGAGAAAAAATAAGTTAACATTGAAATGAAATATTAAATGTTCATATAGTTATAAAGCTACATATATTTCGTCATCTTATGTACATTTTATTCCTGGCAGGACTAGAACCATAAAATCATTACAATGATCATTGTTTTTATGTTTGTTAATTTATGTGCCTCGTCTAACATCTAGACATTTAATAACATGATTCCTTAATATTTTTGGACAGACAAATTTTCATTAGTAAATAAATAACAAAACAAATTTTGCATCATTTGAGAGATCTGAAAAGTTATGACAAATATTGTTTATCTTCTTGAAGAATATTTCTCTATTATCATTGTATGCTGGACCACTAATGATAAAATGTTGTTCATCTTCAACCAAATTTGCATATTTGCACAATACACATAAATGATTACACCTAACAGCAACAATGTATCTACATTTTAATCATTTCATGGCAGTATTTACAAATTTTAATTACATTATGTAAATATGATTTATTTTACAGATAGAGGAAATACATACAGATCTCCGATGAAAAGGGTAGGTTTTATACAGTGTACACATGAATATCTTGTAGGCATGGTCAGAGGTTGGGCTTTAAGGTCAGAGATGCAAACAGTTTTTTTTTCTGTCAGACATTGGGGCCTACAGGGTAGCAAGTTTTGTCAGACCCATCAATTTTTTGCCAGACCTACATTTTTTTATATCAGCTTTTTATACAGTAAGAGAACGAAGATAGGATGTCTTTACAGTGACAGCTGCTTTGGTGGATTGTTTTTAGAAAATATCTAAAATTCAATTGAGTTCTTTTATTTAATAATTACAACAATATATTTTTAATTTTTTTTATTGTGTACCACTGAACTGCAGACTAGGGCCATTCTCCATTTTTTTTGACAGTTCTCTAAGATTTTTAATTGATTACAACTTTCTCAGGAAAGTGAGGACTGAAAAGTCAATTCAGTTTTAAATTCCCCTCTTTAAAGTTCCCAGTTACAACTCTCATCACAGCAATACATGTACTTACAAAAAATCAATCAGATTGATATAAGTTGTGTGCAGCTTGTTTCCAGATCTTACTTTTTGTTATCCTTGTATATTTTGATGTATTTGTAAATTGAATGAACAAATATGTTTAAACTTCAAAAAGCAACATTTGAAAATTTTATAATTTTTTTACCATTATGTTGGTACACAAAATTTTGTTTTAATGGAAGACTACTTTTCATATAATAAATGTCACATTTTAAGTGTTCAGATACATTAACTTTTATTTTGGTGGATAATTACTCATCAATTGAGGTGCTCCTTTATTGGAAGAAGATTTGCAATACAGTTACAGAAAGAATGAAAACTGCCGTTTCTCTCCCCAATCTCATGTATCCCCATTGTTTACCTCGAAAGTTGACCTACAAATCATTGATGTTTGAATCATCTAAAGCAAACACACTAACTTTAATTAATAAATTTTCAACAAGGCAAATTTCAATTCCCCACTAATAGGTTAGCACCAAAAATGCTAAATCTTTCTAAAATCTTAGAGAACTGTCTGCCGGTCATTAGGTCTTGCACAAAAGCCCAATTTGCCAGACCTGCTCAATTTCTGCCCCCTCGGGCCGACAGGTCCGACGATTAGTTGCATCTCTGTAAGGTAATGCTATACTCTGACATAATTTGTTTTTGAAAAAGGATCAAGAAAAAGACTGCAAATTTTATTGAGATAATGTCATGTGAGCAGTGACTAATCAAGTTATACTGGACTAAATCAAACTCACAGTTGGCACTTAAAAACTTTTTAACTCACTAGTCCTTTGGGCTAGTAAGACACAAGTATTTACAACTCAGAAAATTATTTTACTAGTCCCAAGACTGCTTTTTAAAAGCTGACTTTCCTGCAGGAAAGGAAAAAGTATTTTTATGCCCCTGTCGCAACGGAGGGGCATTACATGTAATTGTCACTCTTATCAGTCTTTATGTCCCATAATTAGTTTCCATTCTCTAACTTTAGGTTGCCTCAACCAAATGTTCTGACACTTATACACAAAGCTTATTACCACAAAACAAAGATCAAGTTTGAATTTGGGTGGCGTCACTTTTACCATCTTGAGTTATGAAGCCCCTTTATAAATATGGAAAAATTGCTGATTTTTTTGTTTCCGTTCTCTAACTTTAGTTAGCCTCATTCAAATGTTATGAAACTTATACACAATGCTTATTACCACAAAAATGAGATCACCTTTTGAATTTGGGTGGCGTCACTTTTACCTTTCTTGAGTTATGCCCCTTTACAAATGGAAAAAATTTGAATTTTTAGTTTCCGTTCTCTATCTTTAATTTGCCTCAACCAAAAGTTTTAAATTTTATACACAATGCTTATTGCCATACAACACAGATCAAGGTCGAATTTGGGTTGTGTCACTTGTACAGTTCTCTAGTTATGTCCCTTTATAATGTTATATGGAAGCAGGGGGGGGGGGGGGGGGGGGGGCTGAATTTTTCGTTTCCGTTCTCTTACTAAGTTTGCCTCGACCAACTGTTTTGAAACTTATACACAATGCTTATTACCCCAAAACGCAGATTAAGTTTGAATTTTATAATGTTTTATGCAAGCGGGGGCATCAACTGTGTCCCGTGGACACATTCTCCATTTATTTTATTATCTCTTGCCAATTTAAAGAATGTTCATACATATGTCAGAAAATGAAATATGTATGCATAAACAGTGAATAAAAAATGCATGTCAAATTGTTAAGATAGTGCAAAAATGAATGTACGAAACAGCATACAGGGCCAACCCCATGAAAAAGCAAAAGATATCTAGAGAAGCTCTTCAACTGCCCAGAGTCTAGAACAGATGTGAATGAAATTAGCAGAGAATTGCAAAGATCTGTCATCAATATCAAATTTCTTAAATGACTAAAAGCATTCAGATGTTACAAAAGATAACCACTTACTAGCTTTCTAACTTAGGATAGGCACATGGACATACAATGAGTGACATATATATGGCAGGATTAATCTTTTTAAGCCCCTGCCGCAGTGGAGGGAGCATTAAGTGTTAACCTTGTACGTCTGTCCAGTCTTCCCAAAAATAGTTTTGTTCTCTAACTATATTTTGCCTCAACCAAATGTTATAAAACTTATACACAATGCTTATTACCACAAAACACAGATCAAGTTTGAATTTGAGTGGCAACACTTTTACCGTTCTAGAGTTATACCCTTTTACAAATGGAAAAATTGCTGAATTTTTCATTTCTGTTCTCTAACTTAAGTTTGCCTCAACCAAATGTTATGAAACTTATACACAATGCTTATTACCACAAAACTAAGATCAAGATTGAATTTGGGTGGCGTCACTTATATTGTTCTTGAGTAATGTCCCTTTATAACGTTATATGCATGCTGGGGCATCATCATCTGTGTCCCATGGACAAATTCTCCATTTTTTTTTATGCCCCTGCCACAGCGGAGGGAGCATTAAGTGTTACCCTTGTACGTCTGTACGTCCGTCCTGAAATTGGTTTCCGTTCTCAAATTTTAGTTTGCCTCAGCCAAATATAATGAAACTTTAATATACACAATACCTAATACCACAAAGCACAAATCAAGTTCGAATTTGGGTGGCGTCACTTTTACCATTCTAGAGTTATGCCCCTGTACAAATAGAAAAATTGCTGAATTTTTCATTTCTGTTCGCTAACTTAATTTTGCCTCAAATAATTGTTATGAAACTCAAGTTTGAATTTGGGTGGCATCACTTATACCGTTCTTGAGTTATGTCCCTTTAAAACGTTAATGCAAACGGGGGCATCATCTGTGTCCCATGGACACATGAGTTCTCCATTTATTTAAGATCTCCCTCTATATCTCTTTTAATCTCAATCAGTGGAATAGCAAAAAGATAGGGTAAAAAAATCAGTGAGGCACTCTACTCTATAATACTGGTTTCAATAGATAAACAATTAAGTAAGCTGTCGTTTAGGTAAAGGTCCTCTAGATCTTCAATATATGACAAGTTAATCAGAGTTAGCTATTTATAGGTCAAAGATGATAAGTAATTTTTCATGCTAACAGATGTAAAGATTTCATCACTGTTGGTGTTTAAAGGTTATAGTAATGTTACAAGTAAGTAAAATGTGTGTATATTTTCTATTTCTAGACATCAAGGATCAGGAAAAAGAATCAAAGATTTTACAATGATGATGAAGACACAACATACTCGCCTGCCAAATCACCACGGAAACAACCCAGAACTATAGCTGTGAGTATATTATTTACTGTAATAGGCCTCGTATAGTGCGCACTGGTACACTGTCCTCACCCCCCTTCTCGCCACGAGAATTCAGGCAAAAAAACTTTTTGTAACTGTTCGAATACGTCTAATAAAACCCTGGTAATTTCAAACCGTGGATGATCGTTTGCGGTATTTTCCAGGAAGAACCAGTTTTCGATCATCAAATAGAAGTTAAAAATGCTTGTAAATGATTCTAGAACACTTCACGAGTGTTAGAATAAGTCAAAATCACACAAAAAATAAATAATTGAGGAACTTGTGTATGTTGAAACGGGAAGTACGAATAGCAGGTGTAAATGAAAATAAATAAGATGAGAGTGTATAGAAAATTTGTACTTAATAGATATCACTAGAATACGACTTTGAAAGTAAAACAGTTTCATCCTTAGGTAAAATGATGTTTAACATATCTATCACATTAATGTTTGAAGGATCTTAAGCTAAAACAAAACACATGCATCAGTATGAAACACCATAACAGAACAAATAACTGATTACGTTTTGTAGTTTATACATCGTTATGCATAAGCTGGTTTCCTGCTGACTTCTACACTTTTTGTTCCGTTAAATTCAAGCGGATTACAGTTTACTTTATGCAATGCAGTGAAAAGAAAAGAGAAATTTGTAGCGAAGCATTTAATTTTGAATTTTACCAGTTTATATTTGATATTGAATAAAAATTGCATATTGATATGGATTAGGTGAATTTTTCTCTTATTCTTGCTTATAGAACTATTTAATCCGCACCCCTGTCTGGCATGTTCAATTTTGGAGAATAAAACCATGGACTATACAAGCCTGAATTCGGTGGTCAGATTTAAATCTCCTCTTCTCATATTCATGCAGAATATCATTAATGAAGTAAATGTTTGTCATTTATTACATACAAAAATACAACATTATATGTAAGAATAAACAAATTTAAACTTTTGATACTTGTCAGAGTATTTTTTAGTGAAAATGGATTTCCTCAAAAATTTTATTTATTTTGAAATATTTTTTACAGGCTAAAAGTGGTTTGAGTACAGCAGATAGAAAAGTAGCACAGTCAATTGGTGTCAGACTCAGAAACTTCCTTAAATTACCTAAGGCACACAAATGGGTGTGTTATGAATGGTTTTATTCTAATCTTGACATGTAAGTTTTAAATATTGGTATTTTAAAAAAAAAAAGAAGATATCAGGTACAGGTCATTGAGACAGTAACCTAATGACAAGACACAAAATGTGCCTTAAAATACAAACTTGATATATTGCTAAACATGTCAGTTGTGAGAAAAAAGGCCTACCAACAATAGGAGGAAATCTTTTGACAAAAATCCTGTCATCATTAACAGCAAAAATATCCTCAAAAAAGTAGAAAGTGTGTTCAAGATTTTTTTGTAAATAAAACAAATAATGCCAGAAAGTGAATCTTCCTCTTAATAGTGTTGAAAATCCTCGCGACTGTGAAAATTTTATTGCTTTTAATTTAAAGAAATTATTTTTAATACTTCTATAGATGGATCCAGAACATTTGGTTGTCCGGAATTGATTTAAAGTCTAGGTCAATTACACGTTTTAAGTTCGGGTTTTCTTACCTTTCCGTCAAGCGTTCATCGGACCGTTTAATGATAAAGCACATGGAGATTGTTTAGTTACAGGTATCTATGAAGTCATCGAGGAGCACCTTACGGTGTTGTCTTCTGTCAATATTAATACAAATAACAAACAAAAAAGTTTAATAGTAAACTGTGTATACAGATTCAGGCAGAGTTGCACATGGAATTATATCTTCGATGTCAGATATCATGGATGATGATGCAGCGGATATTCATAAAACCGACACGATAACCATTTCTGTCTCAAACAAAATGGGTATAGAATGTTTTGAGCCTGACTTTAGGGAACCAATATCAGTGGTTAAACAATTTGACAGCAGCCTGAAGTATTACCATATTTCCTATAAATCGTTGTGAAGACGACAAAGATGAAACACTCCTATGTGACTTCATGGATACCTGTAAACACACCAGTACGGAAATGTTAATGGATAGACAATGCCAAATCAATAAGAAGCCACCCAAACTACACACAGAAAATGAATGGTTTACTTGAAAAAATAAATATACTTTCACTTAGTATATTAAATCTATCTTCACTTGCAATGAGTATGCTCCTTTAGGATAAGGGGGGTTGCCCCACTAATTGCAATTATTCTCTCTTTTACGATATTAGATATACCCAAACTGTGTGAATTGAATTGAAACATGTCCTTAGGAGCTGTGCTGCCAAATTTTTTTATGCAGTCAAAACATTTCAGCATTTACTTTTAAAGGGGTGCTATGAATTCCCCCACGAAGTCTAAGAATTATTTGGTTTCAATGAAGCCTGGCATCAACATATCTTTCAAAATATAACCTTATTACATGTATAATTAAATATTGTTAGAAATTTGAAAACAGTCAGATGATTATATAATTTTTTTTAAGTTGCCTTTTTTGTTCAATTGAGGAAGATTCAATGGTTGATTTTTTTTATTGAGGACACTCATAGACAAGAATCTGGGCAGGTGTTTATAAAGCTTCAATATCTACATTCTTCTGATGAAAATACTTTACTCATGAAAGCATTCTAGTCAAGAAGCATATTTGTCATGGAATATATTTCTTTAAAATAATTCTAGTCATTCCTTGTTTATAAGTGTTCCAGTATTTAATAATACCATATTTTTATGTCTTATATTAAATAATGACACTATGTTATAGTTTCAGTTTGATTTAAAAGTTTTTAATCTGAAAATGCCTGTTCATTTCATATTGGTTTTCAGTGTTTGTTGTTTTAAAATGTTTTTTCTCCATGAGAAACTTGGTTTGTGTAACTGCTTGTTTAAACCTTATTTTGGTTGATAGAATAAAATATTTTTCCTACCTACCGACCCTTTAGTCTGAATGTACAGTCGGAAAACTGCAAACAAACATATTTTTAAGGTTGGCCTGAGTCAAATTATCAATTGACAATAACAGATACTTCCAGACTTGTATATCTTGCACAGTTTAATGCTCTTATTCTTTCATTTGTAGACCATTGTTTCTGGCAGAGAATGACTTCTGTATTTGTTTAAAGGAAACATTTCCACAATTAAAAAGCCACAAAATGAAGAGAGTGGAATGGTGTAAGATCAGAAGACTTATGGGAAAACCAAGAAGGTAACCATTTTTGTCTCGCCTTGACAAAGTCAAAAAGCGAGACATAGGTATGCTGTTTCCGGCAGATTATTTGGCCCTGCCCCCTCAGTCATGGTCTATTGACTTTGAAACTTTTGCTTTGTTTACATGTATTAGTTTGTGATTAGGTCGGTTTATGGGGAACCACTAGTGGTAGGTCAATGATATTTGGTATGCTATTGTATAAGCATTGGCATATCTTATTTCTATGGAGATTTTGTGCCCCGCCCCCTCAGTCATGGTCTATTGACTTTGAAACTTCTGCTTAGTTTACATGTATTAGTTTGTGATTAGATCAGTTTAAGATGAACCACTAATGTTAAGTCAATGATAATTGGTATTTGCAAGTCTCATTTTCATGGAGATTATATAGCCCCACCCCCTCATCATGGTTCATTGACTTTTAAATGTTTACATAGTTTACAAGTTAATGTTTGTGTTTAGATTTGTTTAACATGAACGACTTTTGATAAGTCAATGGTATTTGGTATGCAGTTGTATTAGCATTCACACATCTCATTTCCATGGAGATTGGTTAGCCATGTACCTTCAGTCATGGTTCATTGACTTTGAATATTTGCATAACTTACATTAAAGTATTGCTATTTTAATTTTAACATTTGCATTATCAAAATAACAAAAAGGGGAGACATATTACTGTTTTACAGCTTATTTTGTCCAAAAGCTAATGTTTTCTTAAATGATGGTATCTGGCCCTTTCTGTTCTTATGATTGGAAACCTTGCACATTATCTTTCATTGATAATTAAGGAATGTTTCGTTAGATCACATCTATTGGCATAATTGATGTGTAACTTAAACTACTGTCCAGAACAAAACTGCATTTAATAAATATCTGCTTGTGTTGATGACTGCACTACTCCTTATCAGAGTGTTCATATGTATGTTCTATCTTTTAGTATGGCGTATATTTTTTAACAGCTTCAATTATAAACACGAACATATAAATGTTGATGGGAATCATTTGAATTGTAAAATGATATGATTTTATATGTATAGATCTATGCTTACATGTATATAACTAATGCTATTGCAGCTTATGGTATTGTATGATGATATATTTATTAAGATATGTAATTGAACTATTTTTCATTGCTAATTCAGTATTATAAGTATTATAAGTAACTTGTTAAGTAACTTGTTAAGGGCATACGATACAGGGGAGGTAATGACGTCGCTAAGGCCGCAATTAAAAATATCTTTGTTTCCCCTTACCCTACCCACCATTTTGGAAGTGGGTAGGTAGGTAGGCTTCTTTTTTTTTTTTTTTTTAGAGAAAATCCCTGAAATATATCTAACACACAGGAAAACACAGAAAAACAACAAATTGAACTTTATTGATACTAAAACAACATACTGTATAACGTAATATGCATGACTAGAAGACCTTACAATTTCAGACTAGAAAATGTTTGTAAATATCAATGTCTTTGTGACTTAGAGTAGACCACATATAAATTGAGACACGGTTCTATATTTTTCTTATAGTTTTATTAATTCAATTGAAAATATAAAACCCCAATGAGACTGCTACCTAGTCAGAGTTCGCGAAAACTTATTTCGACCCGTCGGTCATGGGACCGACAAAGCATGATTATTTGTCAGTCCTACAAAATTTTAGCCAGTCCTACAAAATCTGTCAATTTTATCTTGAAATAAAATTAATAACATATTTTATTGAAAAATAACTTTATTAATATTAGTTTGATTCTTCGCACCCACAGGCAAATTAACAATGAAGGACCAGTTCAGGTCTTCTGATTGTTCTTATTTAAAGTCATCTTCACTATCCATTTCATCATCTGAATCGCTTTCTCAGCTGTTACAGTATTTGTTTGCTCCATTGAAGGGTTCAATGGCCGATTGTTTGCCAGGGATGGCTCTATGAACAAATTTAGTAGGCCACGTGTAAATCGCCGCTTCGGTTTGTTTATAATAAATCCGTAAACTAGTACTAGAAATTGGCAGCGGGTACATCTGATAACCGATGTAAACACTTATTGGAAACAGTTGCGGTACATCTAATAACCGATGTAAAAAAGTGCCGAAATATGCACTACAACGGCCGTTTTTACATCGGTCATCGGAACCGGCACTAGCCTTCAAAATACTGGTCCGAGCTTCATTTTGACCGATAGGACCGACAGGACCGACCATTTTCGCGAACTCTGCCTAGTAACATTCGATGCAAAAAATATGTACACTTGTTTTTCATTTAAGGAAATACTAGAAGCCACAAACCGTGATCCAAGCGAGTATGACTACGCCTATTAAGGCTTATTCTAGAAAACTATGAATTTATTTTTAACAATAAACTTTACCATGAAACCTTGGGCGTGTCTATGTGCGGATCAGTATTCGCTGAGTTAGCAGACCTTACAATGTTTGTTAATTCTTGAACACATTTTACAACGCTTTCAACACACAGAAACAAAATGATAATGATAGTTGAAGTTCACCTACGAATTTTCCTGTAATGAAACAATATTCTTTGACACTGTCATAATTATACAAAGGAGAAAGATCCTTTAAAGATTCTTATGATACAAGACATTAAAACCAATATCAAACCAACTGAAACATATCAATATCTGCACAGACACTGCTCACACCCAAAAAGTGTTTTCATTGAAAGGATTTATCAAGGGTGAAGTATTGAGGTATCTCAGAAACACAAGCAGCAAAACTGATCTTAAAAAACAGTAAGAAGCTCATACGAGGATATCAAATATCTGAAATCAACGATTTTTTTTATCAAACACAAAATACAGAAAGGGAAAACTTGCTAACACCTCGCCCAGCGAAATGGGAGCAACCGCTAGTAATGTTAACAAAATTCAACCCATCTATACAGAAACTAAAAATATAATAATGAAACACTGGCATCTTATTTCACAAAACCCTGAATGTGTGACCATATTTAATCATCAGCCCATTATAGCTTATAAAAGACATAAGAACTTACAAGAACTTTTATCAAAGCATTAGCTGGTATAGTCATCTCGACTTTTCACAACACAATATGATACTGAGCTCGAAAAAAATCAAGTACTATTTTATCCAAAGACAACTAGTGTATGGTCCAATATCACATACGAAATGAAACAAAATAGCATAAATAGCACGCCAATATACAACTTATTGAGTCAACCACTGATAAAGGCGAACTCAGGGATTTACCACAAACACGGCAGAAACACCAGGCCTAACATTTAAGCTCAAGGGTGAGCTCGGATGCGCAATCGTAACTACTAGGCTACGCATTTTGTTATTGGAGGCGTAGCTAGAATGGAAGAGTAGTTAAGATTGCTCGGATGCATTTATTTAAAACATTATTCCATTCCAATTTCAGTATCCTTGCATACGTTGTTTACCCTTTGCTGCAAACACACGGGCGACAATGATTTCGCGGAATGTTGAAAATACGGACTATTCAAGGAAACGAAATTAAAAAAACGAACTTTTGAGCGAAACGAGAGAAAAAAAACAACATGATTTTTGAAAAAAATTATTTCAGTCGGCGGATTTTTAGAGGGTCGGTCGGGTAAGGGGAAACAAACTTAATTTTAATTTTGGCCTAACATAATATGTTATTTTTCGCGACGTCAAACTGCGACATATCATCAAAAGATGCTTTTTTCAAGGGATTTTAACCATTAGCTTGAAAACAAGTACATGGACCCCTCATTTGATACTGTATGAAGATTATTTGTTTCAATTTTTATGAAAAAATCACTGATGAATTTTTTAAAAATTAGATAATTATTCAGCAAAAAACATTGTTTTTAGCTATGTGAGCTTATGCCATCACGTGGTGTCCGTCGTCTGTCGTTGTAAACTATTTCAAAAATCTTCTCCTCTGAAACTACTGGGCCAAATACCTTCAAACTTTAACAAAATGTTCCTTAGGGTATCTTGTTTATAAATTGTATCCGAAGTTTTGATCCATCGACAAACATGGCCGCCATGGCTAAAAATAGAACATAGGAGTCAAATGCAGTTTTTGGCTAATATCTCAAAAACGAAAGCTTCTAGAGCAAATCTGACATGGGGTAAAATTGTTCAATTGGTCAAGACCTATCAGCTCTGAAATTTTCAGACGAATCGAACAACCCATTGTTGGGTTGCTGCCACCGAATTGGTAGTTTTAACAAAATTTTGCAGTTTTTTGTTATTATTTTGAATATTATTATAGATATATATAAACTGTAAGCAGCAATAATGTTCAGCAAAGTAAGATCTACAAAAAAGTTAATATGACCATAATTATCAATTGACCCCTTAAGGAGTTATTGCCCTTTAAAGACAATTTTACACAATTTGTTCATCAAGTTTGCTAACATTTAAAAATCTTCTCCTCTGAAACTACTGGGCCAATTACCTTCAAACTTTAACTAAATGTTCCTTGGGGTATCTTGTTTATAAATTGTATCCGAAGTTTGTATCCATCGACAAACATGGCCGCCATGGCTAAAAATAGAACATAAGGGTCAAATGCAGTTTTTGGCTTATATCTCAAAAACTAAATCTTTTAGAGCAAATGTGACATGGGGTAAAATTGTTTAATTGGTCAAGATCTATAGGCCCTGAAATTTTCAGACGAATCGAACAACCCATTGTTGGGTTGCTGCCACCGAATTGGTAGTTTTAACAAATTTTGCAGTTTTTTGTTATTATTTTGAATATTATTATAGATATATATAAACTGTAAGCAGCAATAATGTTCAGCAAAGTAAGATCTACAAAAAAAGTTATATGACCATAATTGTCAATTGACCCCTAAAGGAGTTATTGCCCTTTAAAGACAATTTTACACAATTTGTTCATCAAGTTTGCTAACATTTAAAATTCTTCTGCTCTGAAATACAGGTGAGCGATTCAGGCTCTTGAGAGCCTCTTGTTTACTATAATCATAAAAAAATTAATAAAAATGAATTATTTTCAAAGAATTGTTACACATATTTAGAGCACACTTTTGTAAAGAAGATATTTCAAATTGTTTTACAAAAATCCGCATGTGTTTATCTTTTGAAAAAGAAAAGTTAAGTATGTCTCTAAAGGATAGAAATGTCCAAGAAATCGAAATTTTAAGTAAATCTCTGAATTTTTGACCCCATGCATGAAGGTATATTTTTTATTACATATTTGAATTAACTAAGTCAATAAAAACTTGTATGCAAATTTTTGTAAAAAAAATCACAGTGGGATCAAAACTGTATCGTATGCCCTTATAAGACTGGTTGCAGACACTATTGATTCAGCAGTTTTGAAAGACACAATTATAAAACCATTAATTGCTGGATTGACTTGTACATAAGGAAAAAAAGCACACAAAGAGAATGTGAAAGAGCTTTTAAATTTATGTTTGTCATATAATTAAATCTAGAAGATTTTGAAATAATCTATGTCTACTTTCAGATGTTCTCCAGCTTTTTTCGATGAAGAAAGAAATGCTTTAGAAACAAGAAGAAATAAGATAAGATTATTACAACAAAGAAAATTATCAGAACTCAGTAATTTTAAGGACCTTCCCAATGAAATCCCAATGCATTTAGTAATCGGTACAAAAGTTACAGGTAAAATGTTTATATATATTTATTGTTCTGACATTTTCCCCTTATAGGAGCTTATTTTCATTTTAAAATTTTTTCAAGTAATAAATGCTCATTTTACACTTTCGTTGAACAAGAAATTTTACTTTCACAATAAAAAAAAATGAGCGAAAACATTTTTGGCATTATATCCAACTTCTTTGCATTTAATTAGGCTTTTGTGATATGATATATCCCTTAAATGAGTGTTGCAAGATAAAATTTGTATTGAGTATAATGTAGTCTATATGATTCTGCTTTAACTCTTTTTTTTTAAATGGTATTTTCTGTCTGATTTAGAGATAAGCATACATTTAATGTAATTCTACACTTGAAAGTTTATCATATCCTTTTGAATTTCATTGACATAGCTTGTTTTTTCAGCTCGTTTAAGGAAGCCCCAAGATGGTTTGTTTACTGGTGTTGTAGATGCTTTAGATACAGTATCAAACTCCTACAGAATAACATTTGACAGACCTGGATTAGGAACTCATTCTATACCAGATTATGAAGTTTTAGTAGGTTTTTAAAATACAAATGTAGTTTATTTTATGTGACACATAGTTTTCCCCCCTTTTTCAATGATTTCCTAGCAGCAGTATAAACTGTAATATGGTAAAGAGGGAAGATACTCATGTGACAATTATAGATTGATTGATTATTGGTTGCTTAGCATCCAGTGGCAAATATTTCATGCATATTCAGGACAAGACTAATAAGAAAACAATAGAGTCCAAGTCTGTCACTGCTGTTTTTTGTGCTTTGGCTGAGGACAGACATAATAGTTATAACAGAGTTAAAAGTTGGTTTGTTTATAATCCCTTTTATGCTTGCAGCAGAATATGTAAAATTGTTATAGAAATGTAAATGTACTAATGTTAGTAATTGTGTCAAATATGTAGTTTGTTTCAATACAAGTATACATTATGCAAACTAATGTAAATTTTATAAATTTCAAATCAACAGTTCGTACTTATATGATAAAGACTACCCTTTAAAAAGTGCACAATTTTCATATTGTGAATATGTTTTCTGAGCTACTTGTATATTTTCAGAGTAATGATCCTGATGAGACCATACCATTATCGGCATTTCAACAAAAACACAGACCGCGGCTACAGAATCCATTGTTTTCTCCTCCTAAGTTTGTTCCAAGCCTTGGATCACCAAATCCTGATTTAGTGAGTATTAACAAATTGGTGTAAAGTTTGTTTAGACAGTTTTATAGAGAGTCCTTACAGATCTTTTTAAAATCTATTCAGTTAACTTTATATTGAGTGATGAATGAACAATATATGTTTAACATGCTAAGATGCTCCATAGACTTGAGATGTAAGAAGTACCTGTTTCCTAAAATTGGAGAACTTGGGAAATTCTGAATTCCTATTGAAGAGACTGAAAGAATTTTACATTTGGCAGCTTTGTTGAGGACTGCAGTTAACAAATGACAGACAAAAAATTTCCAAATAAAGTAATAACAGACAATGATAGAAATGATTTCTTACTGATATGTAATAATTATAATTAATTGTAATTGCTAAACAATTTTTTGGGGGGAAAAGAACATCAAGGGACACAATGGCCATATTTTCCAGTAGAGCTACCAAACTCTTCAATTATATATATTTGAAATAAGTGGAGAAAGGACACATCTTGGTGAATTACTGCAATAGACCACTTAAGTGTTTATGTAAAATGAAGTTCAATTAAAAATATTAATGCTTTTCAGGGATTAATTTAAACCAATGGACTTTTTTTTTAAAGAATATGATCGTTCAAATTTTTATTTCATTATCACATCCCTGACAGTGAAATTAGATGAACCAGATCCACTTATCGAAGTGCCTATCTGTTTTGTAGGGAAAAAAACATACCTTTATAGGTTGCAGCTGTTTCACAAACCACTCCTCTTTTAGGGAGATATATAATATTCATAGATATTTTGTTTTGCTTACCTACTGGTTCCCAGATATGATCTCTATGTTTCATATCATAGAGACACACCTTGGGAATGTTACCAGTATAAATACACATGGATAATGGTCAAATTGAATTCTGAGGAAGACCAAAAGTGAAGGGAGGGGTAGTACAGAATTTTAGTATAAAATAGTAGTACATATGAACTTTCCATTTTAGAACATAATTTTTTACGAAACTTCATAGTAAAAGTAGCACAGTTTTAGCCGCAAAAGGAGTTCCTATGGGAAATTGCATTGTTGAGATTACAGAAGTGCAACCTACATGACCTATAGTGAAGTATGTTATGATTTGTTTTACAGGATAATGATCCTTTACTAAGTGGTTCACCATTCAAAGGGAGATTAATGAGTTTAGAAGGAGGAACGTACGGCGGATTTCCTATTAAGTTTCTTGTACAAGTTGTAAGTATAACCATGATGTAAAAGAATGAAATGACATATTGTATTACCATTGCTCATTGCTCATTGCTCTGGAATTTTTTTATTAAAAAAAATAGTTTCTATTAAAGATTGAACATTTCTAAATATAAACATTTCTAAATATACATTTGTACATGTCTTATTGACCAAAGTCAACTCTCCACTTTTAAGTAAAGTTTGCTTTTGAAATTCATCTTGTAAGAGATCATGTGACCTTTTGCTACACTTGGTTATTTTCTTATACTATTGTGGAAAAAAGAAACTGCAGAAGTCTTGGTCCTTAATTATTGTATATTTAAAATGTTTGCTGTAGTCAAAAGAATTCTGTCCAAATGCATATATGTTTGTATGATCCTATTATAAGGGTCATGCCAGACAATCAGAGTATAGTCCAATATCAGTTTCATATTATGTACATGTTTGTACTTGTAGGAACTTTATCTGTATAATCTTAACAGCTTGTATGACCTGAAACTCATATTTAACTGTCATCGCCAATTTTTTATAGGGTTTATATTAAAATTTGATAATTATTTCCATGAGTGTTAGAGGAACTCATCTTAGCTATATGATGAATTATGATGTATTCATAAAAAGTTATAAAAACAGGGTATATTGAATGTACTGTAAAATCAACCCCCAATCAGGACCAACCTTTTTTTTAGACCAGATTTATTTGCATAATTTTCTCAATTTTCAGACTAAGTTGTCAAAACTTTTAACAATTAAGAAGCAATGGATACAGGAATTAAAGGATATGAATACTCAAGCTGAGAAGACAGTAAGTATATTATGTGTAGAAAAAAATATTCCACCTTATGATCAATTGTGTTTATGTGATTACACATGGTACATGAACTTTGCTTGACCTGAAATTTTACATGATTTTAGACCACCAAAACTTATTGTAAATCATATTGTTATAAATTGGTTAATTCACTTATCTCTGGTATATGTACATGGTAAATCTTAAAATTTTATTATAATGTATAGTAATCAAGGTAAATTTAAGGAAATTATTAAACTGAATTAATGTTTTAACTCAGTTGACTTATTGAAAGGCTGTATTTATTTATCAATAAATTCCATTAACAAAACCTTTTTATTTTATCCCAATAAATTGATCTTTTTTATGAATTCATACTTGCAATGTCGCCAAAAATGAATTTATCTGTGTTAATGTTTTAGTTTTTATTATATCTAATGAAATTGAAATATACATACTACACTGGAATTTCAGTTGACGGTATAAAGCTATAGATTCTTATTGATAGTGATGATTTATGCAACAAAGTTTTAGTTTGGATAACTTTCTACATTTGCTTTCCACAGAAGAGACCTGAATTATCTGATGGAAATAGCTTGCCTTTGTGGTTTATGGTTGATTCCAATTGAGAATGATAATTATTATACCCCCTTTAAAAAAGTGGGGGTATACTGTTTTACCTATGTCTGTCCGTCCGTCCGTTGGTCCATCTGTCCGTCCCATGAATATTTTTCGTCGCATCTTTCTCAGGAACTTCATTACTAGGATTTCTGAAATTTGGTTTCAGAGTTTATATAAGTCAGCTATACTGTGTGATGCGTTTTCAGATTCATCACTCAACAACTTCCTGTTCAACGAAACACTTACATCATTTTACACATGACATCCAAGTTGAAAATTTTCGTCACATTTTTCTCAGGAACTACATTACAAGGATTTTTAAAGGCAGTGCTTTAATGCCTTTCTAGTTGCCGGGTTAATCCTTCCTTCCGCGATATCCAACTTATCTACTTAGGGGGTCATTAGACTCCAAGTAGATCCGGAAATGTTGAATTCTCTCCTCTTCTTATTGCGATATAAAATGTTTTTTGTGTCATTTCATTTACATTGGGAAATAGAGAAACGATCATTGTGTTTTGTTAGTTTTAAAAACTTTTGATATATTAGTATTTTGCATTATAAGCAGTCAACCGATTGACAAACTAGAATTATTTGAATTCCGTGTGGAAAGAGCTCGGGTTAATTTCGAGTGTTATCTGCAATCTAGATGTTTATAAATCATTTCAGTCGTTGATATAATAATTAAAGGTCGACTGAACATGAATTATATTATACAATTTAAAGCGCATTTCTGTTTATGCACGTAAACCCGTCTAACGTTATTTTCGCATTTATATAAAGTAGCAAATTATCGTTCCTGAATAGGTGGCGCCGTGGTAGCGGATCCTGTTCCTCTTCTTCCGGTTTCTGCACTGTGCAACTATTTCAGTTATATTTTTAATTAACGATGCCAAATACTTGTTGTTGTGTACCTGGATGTCATTTAAGAGGAGGACATGCATTTCCAAATGACTTAAAAAGAAGGAAAAGTTGGATCAACTCCATGGCCCATACGCAGATTGGACGAGAACACGATGATATCGTGGAGTCCATCTCAATCAGCTGTTGTTTGCAAGGCACGTTTTACTGAAAAAGACTACGTGCAGGAAACTATTCATGGTAAAACTCTATTTTCTTTGTGAAATATATAGTTATATATGTAATCGCCATGCGAATAAACCAAAGTCTGTTTACAACCGCAATTATCGTTTTAGAATAAAAGGGGGTGGGTAATTCAAGACGTCATAATTTTTTGGATTACGATTCAATGTGATCTGTTTGAGATTTTTTGGTGATTGCTACAATTATAATGATTTCTTACAAGAGGTATATCATACTGAGAATTATTTTAGCAGTAATTATGCTAATATAGTAATGACAGGAATGCATAAGCTATGCCTCATACACTTTCTTGAAAAATATCAATGACAATGTTAACAGGAACAAAACAATGACATGCTCTCATCTATATTATTATTTAGGTACAAACAATGTACGTTTGTTGCATAAGTCTCTCATTGATTGTCCTTTGGATTTACATAACATACATTGAATCAGGCAAACATAGTTTTATCCAGATTGTAATGAATAAATCTAGTTAATATTTCGCCAGGTAGTACAAAGTATACATTGTTAATGGAAGTTCATTTAATTATAAAAAAACTAATGTTATATAACCTTTTTCAGGGCGCAAACCCACCATACAGAGACTTAAGTCTACTGCAATTCCCAGCCTATTTTCCTGGACCAAGCAAGAGACTGAATCGTCTGCAAAAAGAAAAATCAGGGCAGTTTCCTATGAAAACAAAAGAACTAAACTTGATGAATATTGTAGTAGATATCTAGAGGAAAGTTTTGATTGTAAAGTTGGTTTTCCTGAAGAAGTCATTCATACTGCAGAAAGGATTTATGACTGTCCACCACCAACTGCCGAGCTAATGTAGAGCTTCACAGATGGAATTACGCAAACACCATTAATGCCTATGTTTTCAGCAGAGAATTTTGAAATGAAGACAGGTGACACAGCCATGCATTTTTATACCGGTTTAGAGTTGTATACTAAATTTTTATTTGTTTTGACCACACTTGGTCCAGCAGCACATTGTTTGAGATACATATATTTTCAAATTGATAGGGTGTCAGTTGAAAATCAGTTTTTTTATGACTTTGATGAAATTGAGGCATCATACAACCAACTTTGAACTGTCTAGATTCTAGATTGAATCTAGTGTTAAGAATATTGTGTATACATGGATTGTTTTTATGTCTAAACAGTGGTGTGAGGCTAACACTTGGCCATCTAGTGGTTTAGTCAGGTATTTTTCACCATCCAACTTCAAATTAAAGTTTCCTACGACTTGGATTATTATTGACAGCACAGATTATCCTGTGATAAAACCTAAAGCTCCTAGAGCTCAGGCAACCTTTTCATCAAATAAAAACAGAAACACTGAAAATTCTTGAATGTTCGACACCTGGTGGTTTAGTCAACTATGTCTCTATGTCACATAGAGCGAATTATTGGACTTGGCAAAACATACAAAATTCTAATAAATCTTATGAATGGAACTGAAACAAAACTTTCATCTGAAATAACATTTAGTTGTTTTATGTTGTGTAATTTTAGAACTTGTATTGTGCCAAAGGATGCATAAATAAAAGTGACGCAATGAATTTTGTTCTGATATATATATATTTACAATTACATGCACATGTAAATTGTAATGCATATAAAAATAAGGAGATGTGGTATGATATTCAGTGAGTTTATCAAACTAAAGTGCATAAGAAATGGGTTAAAGCAGTTACAGGTGTTACTGTCACTGTACAATCTCCAACAATGAGAAAAACTCTTACCGTGTAAAAAATTTCAGAGATCTTACAACTAAGTTTTGTTGTCTCACCTTGACTTTGGTGAATTTTTTATATCTGTTGATGTAAATATAAAAAAGAAGATGTGGTATGATTGCCAATGAGACAACTCTCCACACATGCACAAGAGACCAAATGACACAGAAATTAACAGCTATAGGTCACAGTACGGCCTTCAACAATGAGCAAAGCCCATACCGCACAGTCAGCTATAAAAGGCCCAGAAATGACAATGTAAAACAATTCAAACAAGAAAACTAACGGCCTATTTTATGTAAAAAAATGAACAAATATAACAAATATGCAACACATAAACAAACGACAACCACTGAATTACACTTTTATAGGCTGCTGACTTGGGACAGGCACATACATGTACATACAGAATGTGGCGGGCTTAAACATGTTAGCGGGATCCCAACCCTCCCCCTAACCTGGGACAGTGGTGTAACAGTACAATATAAGAAAGAACTATAAAAATCAGTTGAAAGAGGCTAAACTCATCAGATGGATAAATACAAATACAAGTGGACGTGGTCAGGTAGTTGTACATCCAAACAACAAAAAGACACTAAGTACAAATCTGAGAGTACTCGCAGTTACTGACAGCTAGTTCAAAGCCACTAACAACTGATAAAAAAATCTTGCATCTAAGACTAAATTATCAATCCGTAAGCTCCCTTTAGAATTTTATAAATTTTAGATTTTACATTTCTGAGTTATGGGGTTTTATTCATTAAAAAAGGGGGGATTTTCCAGTTTTTGGACAACAACTCAAAAATGCTTTAAGCAGTTCACATGAAACTTTGGTGAATTATTTATAGCTATTGATGTAATCTCCCTATTGATTTTCATAAATTTCAAATATGACATTGAGAAGAAATTGAACTTTATTTGTTTATAGTCTGGCAACAGATTTATTAAGTATTGCACAACAGCACAGTGTATTTCACAACAGCAAGAAATCTTTAATTGAATATAAATTCAATTCATATAACCGATTTCAAGTTCATTGACTACATTTATTCAGAAACTATAATATGTCAAATATTTAATTACAATCCAAATTCAGACCTGTATCAAGCTTGAATATTGTGTCCATTTTTGCCCCAGCTGTTCAGGGTAGTACCTCTGCGGGTGTATCCAGCTGCGCTCAGCGAATCAGTTTATTTCTTAATTAAGAACTTTTTATACGACCGCAAAAAAATTTTTGTGGTCGTATATTGGTATGATGTTGGCGTCGTCGTCCGAAGACACATTAGTTTTCGCACTCTAACTTTAGTTTAAGTGAATGGATCTCAATGAAATTTTAAAATAAGGTTCAATACCACAAAGGGAAAGTGGGGATTGATTTTGGGGGTTATGGTACCAACAGTTAAGGAATTAGGGGCCAAAAATAAGCATTTTTGTAACTTCCAGACATAACTTGTGTGTAAGTGTATGGATCTCTCTGACATTGTACCACAAGGTTCCATATCACAAAGGGAATGCTGGGATTGATTTTTTGGGGTAATTGCCTCCAAATTTTAGGAATTAGGGGCCAAAAAGGGGCAAAAAACAAGCATTTTTATAGTTTCATGACAATAACTTGTGTGCAATTCTATGGATCTCTCTGACATTGTATCACAAGATTCCATATCACAAAGGGAATGCTGGGATTGAATTTGGGGGTAATTGCCTCCAAATTTTAGGAATTAGGGGCCAAAAAGGGGCAAAAAACAAGCATTTTTCTAGTTTCATGGCAATAACTTGTGTGTAAGTGTATGGATCTTTATGAAATTGTACTACAAGGTTCCATATCACAAAGGGAAAGCTGGAATTGAGTTTGGGGGTAATTGCCCAAAAAGTTTAGGAATAAGGGGCCAAAAATAAGCATTTTTCTAGTTTCCAGACAATAACTTGTGTTCAAGTGTATGGATCTCTCTGAAATTGTACTGCAAGGTTCCATACCACAAAGGGAATGCTGGGATTGATTTTGGGGGTAATTGCCTCCAAATTTTAGGAATTAGGGGCCAAAAAGGGGCAAAAAACAAGCATTTTTCTAGTTTCATGACAATAACTTGTGTGTAAGTCTATGGATCTCTTTGACATTGTATCACATGGTTCCATATCACAAAGGGAATGCTGGGATTGATTTTGGGGGTAATTGCCTCCAAATTTTAGGAATTAGGGACCAAAAAGGGGCAAAAAACAAGCATTTTTCTAGTTTCATGGCAATAACTTGTGTGTAAGTGTATGGATCTTTTTGAAATTGTACTACAAGGTTCCATATCACAAAGGGAAAGCTGGGTTTGAGTTTGGGGGTAATTGCCCTAAACGTTTAGGAATTTGGGACCAAAAAGGGGCCAAAAAACAAGCATTTTTCTAGTTTCCAGACAATAACATGTGTTCAAGTGTATGGATCTTTATGAAATTGTACTGCAAGGTACCATACCACAAAGGGAAGGCTGGGATTGAGTTTTGGGGTGATGAATCATAAGGGGGTTCAAAAAATTTTGGGGGGATTCTTTTTCCTTTTTTTTCTTTAAAATTTTCCATTTTAAATTGGTTATTTCTGATTTATATATAAAAGCAAATAATAATGATATGGTTTGAATAGGTAAATTAAATTTTTTTAAGTATCTTAGACCACTTTCATTCTGTGTCAGAAACCTATGCTGTGTCAAATATTTAATTACAATCCAAATTCAGAGCTGAATCAAGCTTGAATGTTGTGTTCATACTTGCCCCAACTGTTCAGGGTTCGACCTCTGCGGTCGTATCAAGCTGCGCCCCAGCGGAGCATTTTATTTCATTCATAAATTACTTTATGCTTGGAAATATAATTTTGCTTGGAGTTGAAAGAGTTGACATGTTGCAATGTACATTTACTCTACATAGTTCTATGGTACCAAATCAAAAGTTTATATAAAGAAAGAAGTCAAAGGTTTCCCATCATAGTTTAGTTACATACATTTTTTTTGTACCTGAGGTCGTTGAATATAGATCATTATATAAATAAGGAGATGTGTTATGATTGCCAATGAAAAAACTAAGGATTTTCTTATCCAAGGAATAGATTACCTTAGCCGTATTTGGCACAACTTTTTGGAATTTTGGGTCCTCAATGCTCTTCAACTTTGTACTTGTTTGGCTTTGTTACTATTTTGATCTGAACGTCACTGATGAGTCTTATGTAGACGAAACACACGTCTGGCGTATTAAATTATAATCCTGGTACCTTTGATAACTAATTTGACTATAAACATAGATAAAAAAGGTACAAACTGGACATAATGCACTAGTTCATAAACAAGTGAGAACAATCGCCTTCATATAGTGCTCAGAATATGACATTCATAAAACTTATTCAATATCATTAGAGAACTCTAAATCTTAAATACTGAAAGCCACCTCTGATAAGTACACTGTACTATGCAAGATAATGATATAACTGGACTTAAAATACACACAACCTGTAATTAACTGCCTTTACAGCGCTTTCGTGCTTTGATTGAAATTTGGTTTCAGCGTTTATATAAGTCAGCTATACCGTGTGATGTGTTTTCAGATTCATCACTCAACAACTTCCTGTTTAACGTCAAGTATTTGGGCGGGGGTATCATCAGTGAGCAGTAGCCCACAGTTTCTTTTGTTTGAAATGTTTTGAAATTTATACAATAGACAGTACAGTTTGATGTTATTTTGGGAAATTTGACAGTTCTGTAGTTACCATGGTTTAATATGAGAAATACTGTAAATTCAGAAATTAATGTAAATAATGCAACTGGATGAATATCTCAATAATAAGAACTTGCATTCTGAAATCTGACACAAATATTTGTATGCTACTTTTCAAGTAATTGTTATAACTATTCTCACATTTTGGTCTGTCGTGTGGAAATCACGATAATAGATGCACACAATCATTTCTGAATTTATGGTAGTTCTTTTAAGATTTCTAGATGAAAATTTAAAGGTAATGAAAACATATTGTTTATAATCTAATTAACAGAAGTCTTTCCAGCAGCCTCTTTCTCAGGACTTCCAACAGAAATATGCCAACATAGTGTTAGAGTTGGACAATGTCAATAAAGAATTAAATGAATACTTGATTGGTGTGCAACACTACTGTCAAGAGGTGAGATTAAGTAATGCATTACATTCAACTTTAGATACTCATGTATGGTGTCTATCATTCACAAATTTACAATTATCATTATAAGTTTTTAAAGATAAATTCTTTCACTTTTAGGCTGAATACTATTATTATAAATGTGTGAATTGATAATTTAGCAAATAGACATCTTACAATGGTTCAACAAAAACAGATAATTTTAGCTATATTGTGCGCTATTTCTTTTATAGTAAATTAAAAAGTATCTTGTATAAAACAAATGCACATAATAAAAAAACTGAATTAGAGACAGGCAATAGAGTAGTGTTTATGTAGTAGCAATTCTTAACATCATATTTTTAATCCAAGAAACACAAAAGTATGGAAACATAAGATGAAAAGTCAATCTCCAATTCTGTTTATTTGTGAGGGCTGTTTCAGGAGTAATTGTAGGGGGCAGATTAAGTATTCTTATTAAAAAAAAAAAACTGTAAAGTTATTAGAGCAGATCCCAGAGTAATAGTATTTGTTCCAGAAAAACATGTCATAAAAAACTTCCATTATATTTAGTAGTATGTGCTGTTCCAGGAGAAATTGTATGGGTGATTAGAACAGCTGGTCTCATAATAAGCTTTAAAATCTGTTTATTTGTAAGGGATATTCCTGATTAATTGTATGTAATATTGGGGAAGTGGCTGTGGTGTAATTTGATAACTTGAATTATGTTTTGTTCATGTGAACATGCTATTGTCTTTCAGTTAGCACCAGAGCAAGGATTAACACCATTTGATCAGCCATCAGAAATCAGAAAACGATGTGACGAACAGGCTGAGGAAATGGTTGATAGAATCAGTCAGGTTTGTAGATAATCTCTGACACAACAAGATATGTATATTTTAAAGAAAACCCTATTACCTTTTTCAAAACATGTAACATCTAGTTTGAACCATGCTTATCTGAAGTACCCTGGATTCATTATTATTTGTTGGATACCAATTTTTGGGGGATTTCATGGGTAAAGGTGAACCACAAATTTATATGTTCAAAATTTCTACAGGCTTTTATGTAGACTTTTGGTAAAAGCACGAAATCAAATATCCGCTAAAATTGGTACCCAAGAAAATATATGAATCCGCAGTACATGTGTGCTAATCATAAATTCTCAAATATACTTTTGATTGTTTTATTTTAATTTGCAGCATAGTTATTGATGTTAATATTTTAGTTTTATTATCAGCATTTAATGGTTACTGCTTCCATAAGAGGACAAAAAAATGAATAACAACTTTTTAATGAAAAAGGTTAGAACCATTGTCGGTATACACTTATTGTGTGATGTATTATCTGTGTTTTAGCTATTGACAATACTTTTAACATTTATTTGCAGAATATGTTCCACAGTAAAAAGACAAAGAATCACAAAGTCATCGATCTCATTTCTAGTCTCACCTCTCTCATGTTACAAGTACAAGTAAGTCTGCATGTAATATTTAGTATTTCACCAGTGAAAGAAGGAACTTCCTTGTATTAAAAAAAGAGGCAATAAAAATCAAGTCAAAGAAAAAGGACAAAATAACAGTGGTCTACAAAACACTGCTGAAAAAGAGACAGAAAAATGCTATCCTCACTTAAAACTGTGGGTGATCTAAGGTAGTTGTCCAGGTCATTTTTCTCTATTGCACCGATTGCTCCAGACCACCACTTTAGTGGGGAATCTTGCTCTTGCAGTTTCATTGAATCTACTTTTGGTTAATTTACATGCAAATTGTATAAGAACTGACATCTTTTCAATTGAAATCAAAACTTCAAAGAAAATGCATTGATTCTTCAATAAATAAATTACAAGTAACACATACCGTAGAAAGGCTTGTATAGTCCGCGGTTTTATTCTCCAAAATTGGACCTTCCAGACGGGGTGCGGACTATAGAGTACAATAAGCAAGAAATAAGAGAAAAATTTCAATTTCGCAGTCGAGGTGGTTTGTTTACGTTCCGCCATCTTTGTTATTTCTATTGTAGAGGGCGCTCTTATCATTTTTCAAACTAATAATTTTAACTCATCCATATTAATAAGTTATTTCTATTCAATATCAAATTAATACTGATAAATATAAAAACTAAACCTTTCATTACAAATTTCTCGTTTCTTTTCAATGCATTGGTTGAAATAAACTGGTATCTGCTCGATTGAAACGATACAAACATAGTGAAAAAGACAACCGTAAACCAGCTTAGAATTTGTAAACTACAAAACGAAATCGGTTATTGTTCGTTCCGTTTTGGTGTTTCATACTGACTAATATGGTTTGTATTAGCTTAAGACCCTTCAAACATTAATGTGATAGATATATTAAAGACTGTTTTACAAAAGGATGGAACTGTTTTACTTTCAGTCGTATTATAGTGATATCTGTTATGTAGGGATTTCGACTCTCACCAGTTAATTTCTTCTTTTACACATGCTTTTTAAACTTCCTGTTTAAACATACACAAGTTTCTAAATTGTTTTTTAAGTGAATTAAACTTATTTTAACAATCATGAAGCGTTCTAGAATCATCTACAAGCAGTTTCAGCTTCTGTTTGATGATGGAAAACAGGTTTTTCCAAGAAAATGCCGCAAACGACCGCACAGATTTGAAATTACCGGAGTTTCATTAGACCTTTTCTAACAGTTACAAAAAGTTTTTTTACCTAAAATTTCGCGGGGAGAAGGGGGTGCGGACTATGTACCAGTGCGAACTATACAAGCCTTTCTACGGTATATATTTGTTTGCTTATCTGTCCAAGGTCATATCAATGATAACCAATATATTTAATTAACATATAGCTAATAATTAGTTGAGATGGTGTCTCCAGTTACAGAAAACAAACCAGACACAGTTACGCTTGCTCTCAATGGATGATGGTTGACTCTGTAGGAAAGAGATCTTCACCATTTTATATTTTATTGTCATTGCTTTTTATATCATATCACTGTTGACCTAGTGAAACTTTTGCTGTTAAAGGATAATGCTTCTGTTATTTAGAAGAAAGAAAAACAAGACAACTTAGGCATGCATTAGTTTTAAAAGAAAAAGTATTGAAAAAAAATAATATATTTTTACACACTGCATTTTGTAAGTATCTTTTTTTGTTTCAGACATTTTCAGAAACAGAATTTAACTCATTTGAATTCAAATCATTGCAAGACACACTACTTGATATTAAAGGCAAGCTGGATGGTAACAGTATTAAGTGAGTATATTCAATATATTGTCTTTTTTATCTGAGTATTGAACTTAAATTGCTTATCAAAGTTCCTACCATTGTCTTTAAAGTAGCAGGTTTAATAATTAAATTTGTTTTATCCATTGTCTGTCATTTGTTAGACAAAAAAAATCTACAGTACCTTCTTCAGCATTTAACATATATGTATTTGGATTACAAAATTTGACAAAGCGTCTCATGAATGCAATACTTTATGTTTCAATTATTTTATTGCACAGATCATTCATGTTTTATGGTATTAATTAAACCTCAGATGTTGATTCAAGAGAATGAAGAAAAACAAAGTTTTATCAGATTGAACAAAAATTTCGCAAAGTATGTCTGACTCACATATGATTTAACTTTTCAAAAAATAATGTATATTTTTTCTATTGCAGTGCCTTTAAGAACAATGTAGAGATACATATCAATCATATACAGAGTGGACTTAGTCAGATGGGAAATCTTCATGCCTTTGCTGCTACAAGTAAACTCAACCTTTGAACTTCTCTCATCTTAACAGTAAAGCTGTCATCTTGTTGTAAATTGGATTGGAATCAGAGATCTCCAACATGAAATACAGTTTGGATTACATTACATTCTTCAACTTGAACCTTAGATGGATATGACTGCCAATTTATTTTTCAGCCATTCAATACACATATACATGACAGTTGTGATTACTTACAGGAATTTTTATAATATTGTTAGAAATGACTGCTTTACATCAAAAAGCTATAAATCATTGTTGATAAGCCTCATAAGGACAAATGATTTTTCTTGATTTCTCTAGGACTTTAATACCAACATACTAAGAATTGTTATTAAGTCCATTAGTTAGAATTAGTTCAAGATAAACACATGCACATTTGAATTGTTAATTATGAAATTATAGAAAACAATTAATCATGATATTTCCATCTCACAGTTATCATTTACATATAGACATAATGTTGTGACTTGTCAAATTATTTTTTTTTGGAAAATAGATCTCTAGTTGAAAAAATTGTGTGTTATAGCCAACTTTGATGCATGTCTCAAAATCAGACAAAGAAAGGAATTAAGGGCATTTACATTGACTTATTGTGAAACATTTGAGAGTAGAATTGTGTAAAATTATTATGCATTTTTTGACAAAACATCATATTTTTATACTATCTAACATTGCTGCCATGTTGAAACAGAGCAAGTTATTAGATTCAAGATTCAAATGCTTTTTTAACCTCTGACACATATGTGTACAAGATGTAACAATTTGCAAAATCATGATATACATGTACTTGAAAAAATGAGAAATCTTACTATTTTAAATATTGAATAAATTAAAAAATAGATTTAAACAATTGATAATATGGTAATTTATTTCATAAAAAAAATCTTAATGTGCCAAAGAATTTATCTGTTTCTTCTTTAAATTTGTTTTTGTAACTACTTATTGTGAAAGAAATAAACCTTTCCACAGAATCATTTGCAGTTTACCTCTCGATTTAAATTTTATAAGTTCACTTGTCTCATTGATTAAATACAATAGCTGTTGTTCTCTGAGGAACCTTTGAATTTCTTCTAAGAGAAAATCCATCACTCATTGATAATTTACCTGAAGAAAAAGATTATCTTCTAAGTAGATGCAAATTCATGAATCAACTCACAAAACTGCATATGATGTTGTCTTTATGTATTTTTTTTTTTTTTTTGTGTGTGTTCGAGAAATAAAAACTAGAAAATGATAATGATTAAATTAAGGCCTTCTTAAATTTATTCTACGAGTAAACAAACACAAAAAAAACTGCAAATTTCAATAGGAACACTGTTGAAAAATTTGTCAGAAATAAACTTTTTATGATTAAATCAGTGTTTATATTGAACAGATTAAAAATATGTTAGGAGAAATTTAAAGGGCCCATTGAATAAACTCCACTGAGAACAATACCTGTTGTATAATTCTTCATTGACCAAAAATTTATCGACACAGGTAAAGCTACTCAAACTGGGGAAATGTTTTATTTCCTTTGCAATAACAGACTTGCTTAAGTGGGATACTATTGCATTTATTGTAACGTAATTATTTTTTTGCCAGTTTTTTTTGTTTTTAGAACTTTAAATATTTAGTGCAGTTGAATCTGAAAATGTTGATAAAATTGTTCACAAAAACACTGTATCAACTACATAAACGTCTTTATCGCCAGTACTTTTATGCTCAACCAAAGTATTTAGAAATGTACATAATACAATATTGTACTTATAGTTAAGTTTTTTTTAGGGGTCTTGCCAATTTTTGGCATGGTAAACTAGGCAGACACTAGCCAGTAGACCTTATATTTTTGATTCCCGCCATGTAGGGTTTAACTATTTCATGAACTTTCTTAGTCATTAATTATCAGTGTTGGATTATGTGCCCCTGAAAGTATATAAAGCTTTACACTTATATGAATTATTAAAACCTGCAAGTACAATTGATCCCGGATCCTGCTTATTGTTTTGTAAGAATCCCGTATCCCGCTTATTGTTTTGTAAGAATCCTGTATCCTGCTTATCATTGTATGAATAGTGATTGAAATTTCACATGTCCTGCCCGTTTTCTTTTCTAGTTTTCACGCAAAATAATGTGACTTTCACGTGTCACGCTTACAAAAAATCAGCCAATCCCGCATCACACTTAGACCCCAATGAGACCCACTACCTTCTTTCCCCAATATTTGAAATTATTCATTGACAGCTATTTAACTAAAGGGAGGTATACCTGCTTCAATAACATGTACTACTATATCTTGTGGGGATTTATTAACTAAGTTTTTGGCAATACAAATGGTAGATCTCGTGTTGCAAGTCCACTCCTTACACTACTATACATTTTTTTATTCAAAGTATATCAGTTTGTGTATAGAACTACTACAATAAATATATGTTCATGTGTATAGAATCCAGTACTGTAAGTTAATGACCATTAAAACAGTTGTGTGTTTTATTTGTTCTATATTTTGTTAAGTTTGATGTATGTTTCGTTCATTATACATGCAATAAATGGTGAATAAAATAATAATCTCTGTTGTGTTCTGTCACTCAGTCTATCAGGTTGTTGATAAACAGGATTTCCAACTTCATTAAAACATTAGGACTCAATAAAAAGCTCTTTTTAGATTGAATCTGTGAAGAAAAATAGATGCCTTTATAAAGAATACCATTGTATAAGTGAGTATCACCTAACAGTTCCACATACCTAGAAGGGCTGTTTTATGATTGATTGATTGTGCTTAACACCACTGCCTACACTGCCCAAATCATAGCATGTAATTTTACCCATTTCCATCATTCTGTCATTTTGAAACATGTCGGTTGTTCCTACTATTTTTCTTAATCTTTCAGATAATGGCCCAGTTTTTGTTGTATTCGATTCGTTTGGGATGGAGTATGAATTTTGTTACAATTGTCTTTTGACAGAATTATGGCCCTTGGACTTGAATGCAATTTAAATTTTACTTGTTCAGACTTTTGTTTGCTGTGCTTCCATATGTTTAGCTGATTTCTGATGTTAATTTGTATATTCCAGTATAAATGCCCCTTGCAAGATATCAAGTTAATGTGTTTGAGTCTTATACCAAACTTACTTCTGCTCCCAATTTATAACACATCTATTTTCAGTCGAAATAGTGGGGCACCATTTTCTGTCTCTGAATTTTTTTTTTGTTTTGTGTTGGAAGTTTTGGTGTTTTTTAAACTTTATATTTATGGCAGTACCTTTGTCCATTTCTTTTATTTAGGTTGCAATACAGATAGCTATGGTTATGCATGGGCAGTCAAAGCTATCCAATTTATAACATCTATTTTCAGTCGAAATAGTGGGGCACCATTTTCTGTCTCTGAATTTTTATTTTGTTTTGTGTTGGAAGTTTTGGTGTTTTTTAAACTTTATATTTAAGGCAGTACCTTTGTCCATTTCTTTTATTTAGGTTGCAACACAGATAGCTATGGTTACACATGGGCAGTCAAAGTTGATCATTGTTCACCACAGAATTAGAGGATTATTGCACTTTATGTGAATAAATCTAGCAGGAGTGTTACTTGCAATGTTCTGAAAAAATTTTCAATGTCGAAAGGACAACCAATATAATTATATAACTACTGTGTATTTATAGAATAACTAATCGAAGAATTCAAATAGAGAAAAATATTCAACGAGTGACCGAACAACACATTAATTCAAAAATGCGTGTATCGCATGAGTTAATTATCAGTGTTGTTCGGTCACGAGTTGAATATTTTTCGATATTTGAATTCTTTGATTAGTTATTCTTTTTATTAGCTCACCTGGCCCGTCGTCCGTCGTCGGCGTTAACTTTTTACATTTTGAACTTCTTCTAGAGAACCACTGAATGGAATGAAACCAAACATGGCATGAATGTTCCTTATGAGGTGCTGACCAAGTGTTGTTACCTTGTAGCGGATCCATCATCCAAGATGGCCGCCAGCGGGGGACTTAGTTTAACATAGGACCCTATGGGAAATGCATACAAATGTCTTCTTTTAGAGAACCACTGAATGGAATGAAACCAAACATGGCATGAATGTTCCTTATGAGGTGCTGACCAAGTGTTGTTACTTTGTAGCTGATCCATCATCCAAGATGGCCGCCAGCGGGGGACTTAGTTTAACATAGGACCCTATGGGAAATGCATACAAATGTCTTCTTTTAGAGAACCACTGAATGGAATGAAACCAAACATGGCATGAATGTTTCTTATGAGGTGCTGACCAAGTGTTGTTACTTTGAAGCGGATCCATCATCCAAGAAGGCCGCCAGCAGGGGACTTAGTTTAACATAGGACTCTATGGGAAATGCATACAAATGTCTTTTTTTAGAGAACCACTGAATGGAATGAAACCAAACATGGCATGAATGTTCCTTATGAGGTGCTGACCAAGTGTTGTTACTTTGTAGCGGATCCATCATCCAAGATGTCCGCCAGCGGGGGACTTAGTTTAACATAGGACCCTATGGGAAATGCATACAAATGTCTTCTTTTAGAGAACCACTGAATGGAATGAAACCAAACATGGCATGAATGTTTCTTATGAGGTGCTGACCAAGTGTTGTTACTTTGTAGCGGATCCATCATCCAAGATGGCCGCCAGCGGGGGACTTAGTTTAACATAGGACCCTATGGGAAATGCATACAAATGTCTTCTTTTAGAGAACCACTGAATGGAATGAAACCAAACATGGCATGAATGTTTCTTATGAGGTGCTGACTGAGTGTTGTTACTTTGAAGCCGATCCATAATCCAAGATGGCCGCCAGCGGGGGACTTAGTTTAACATAGGACCCTATGGGAAATACGTACAAATGTCTTCTTTTAGAGAACCACTGAATGGAATGAAACCAAACATGGTATGAATGTTCCTTATGAGGTGCTGACCGAGTGTTGTTACATTGAAGTCGATCCATAACTCAAGATTGCCGCCAGCGGGGGACTTAGTTTAACATGGGACCCTATGGGAAATACATACAAATGTCTTCTTTTAGAGAACCACTGAATGGAATGAAACCAAACATGGCATGAATGTTTCTTATGAGGTGCTGACCGAGTGTTGTTACTTTAAAGCCGATCCATAATCCAAGATGGCCGCCTGCAGGGGACTTAGTTTAACATGGGACCCTATGAGAAATACATACAAATGTCTTCTTTTAGAGAACCACTGAATGGAATGAAACCAAACATGGCATGAATGTTCCTTATGAGGTGCTGACCGAGTGTTGTTACTTTGAAGCCGATCCATAATCCAAGATGGCTGCCATCGGGGGACTTAGTTTAACATGGGACCCTATGGGAAATACATACAACTGTCTTCTTTTAGAGAACCACTGAATGGAATAAAACCAAACATGGCATGAATGTTTCTTATGAGGTGCTGACCGAGTGTTGTTACTTTGTAGCGGATCCATCATCCAAGATGGCCGCCAGCGGGGGACTTAGTTTAACATAGGACCCTATGGGAAATGCATACAAATGTCTTCTTTTAGAGAACCACTGAAAGGAATGAAACCAAACATGGCATGAATGTTTCTTATGAGGTGCTGACCGAGTGTTGTTACTTTGAAGCCGATCCATAATCCAAGATGGCTGCCAGCGGGGGACTTAGTTTAACATAGGACCCTATGGGAAATACATACAAATATCTTCTTTTAGAGAACCACTGAATGGAATAAAAGCAAACATGGCATGAATGTTCCTTATGAGGTGCTGACCAAGTGTTGTTACTATGAAGCTGATCCATAATCCAAGATGGCTGCCAGCAGGGGACTTAGTTTAACATAGGACCCTATGGGAAATACATACAAATATCTTCTTTTAGAGAACCACTGAATGGAATGAAACCAAACATGGCAAGAATGTTCCTTATGAGGTGCTGACCAAGTGTTGTTACTTTGAAGCTGATCCATCATCCAAGATGGCAGCCAGCGGGGGACTTAGTTTAACATAGGACCCTATGGGAAATACATACAAATGTCTTCTTTTAGAGAACCACTGAATGGAATGAAACCAAACATGGCATGAATGTTTCTTATGAGGTGCTCACCAAGTGTTGTTACTATGAAGCTGATCCATAATCTAAGATGGCCGCCAGCGGAGGACTTAGTTTTACATATGACCCTATGAGAAATACGTACAAATGTTTTCTTTTAGAGAACCATTGAATGGAATGAAACCAAACATGGCATGCATGTTCCTTTTGAGGTGCTGACCAAGTGTTGTTACTTTGAAGCTGATCCTTCGTCCATGATGGCTGCCAGATGGGGACAATGTTTAACAAAGGATCCTATGGACAATACATACAAATGTCTTCTTTTAGAGAACCACATACTGAATGGATTGAAACCAAACATGGCATGAATGTTCCTTATGAGGTGCTGATTAAGTTTTGTTACTTTGAAGCTGATCCTTCATTCATGATGGCCGCCAATGGGGGGGACTTCCTTTAACATAAGAACCTATGGGAAATACATACAAATGCTTCTTCTAGAGGTGCACTGAATGGAATGAAACCAAAACATGGCATAAATGTTTCTTATGAGGTGCTGATTAAGTGTTGCTACTTTGTTGCCGATTTACTGTTCAAGATGGCCACCAGGATTTTTTATTAAATTACAGGACCAATATTAAACCAAATTTGGCCTCACTCATTATTAGGGTATCTGTTATGATTTTAATCTATTTTTACATGATTTCCAAAACCAAAGTAGAATCAGGTGAGCGACACAGGCTCTTGAGAGCCTCTAGTTACATTGGCAAATGGCTTTTTTTAATGAAATTAATGTAGAAAATGTAAGGAACTTTATCTTTTTTCTACGCATTCACAATTTGTTTTGATCTGACGTTATCAACGTCTTGACAACGCCTATTGTTGTATGACGTCAGAGAGTGAAATAACCACGTTTATTTCACATGTGAAATTATCGGTTTTTATTTGACTGGGAAATCAATGTAATTCATTGCTACCAATGTAATAATCATTAATATTTGTGGGATACCAATTTTTATGGATTTTGTGGGTAAAGGTGAACTACTAATTTAAATGTTCAATAACATACACATTTTCTATAGGAGTGTATGCAGACTTGGGCAAAACCATGAAATCAAATATCCAAGAAAATACAATTGTTCATCAATCCGCGAAAATAAATGAATCCACAGTATTTGAATAATTTTCCTCAGAATTGCTGATTTGTGATACAAAATTGACTTATTCTAAAGTTTCAGGTTTTTACCTTTAGTCAAATATAGGCAACAAAGCAATGAAGCAAAATAATGAAAATTCAGAAATGAATGCAATGTTTTAGTTGATGTGAAAAATGAGTGCATAGACATCACAACTACAATCCTTCATTCCCTGCAAGCTTGCTTATTGTAAACCAGCTCAGTGTGTCAGCCTTGAATAGAGGGGGTACCCTTCTCCCACCTCCTGCCCCCCTTCTCCCACATCCCGCCCCCTATCTCCCACCTCCCACTTTTAGAATCTTTTTTTGTCTCCCACCTCCCGCCCCCCTTTC